ATGCCACTGGCTGGTGCAGTCTGTTTGTGCCATTTCGGGGTGCAGGAGACGGGGAACCCCCAACGCGCCGTCACAACTCCTATGGCTTGTTAGCTTCCAGGAAAATCTGAGGGCTTCTTAGCTTACACAGTGCTCCATGTATGGCAAAAAGCAAGTAAGCTGAGGTTCCCAGAACCCCTTCTGAAGCTGCAGCTCTACAATCAGAATTCTGCTTTGAACCATTCTTTAACATAGCCAACAAGTTGGTTGAGTTGCAAAGTTTATATTCACCTGATGTAAAACTTTCATTCAGGGAGAACGTATGTTCACCCACAGCAGTTAGCCCTGGCACCTAATTGCTTAAGCCCTGGAATGTCTGTCATTACAAATTAAGCACTGCTGGATACATTTATTGCATGCGAGCAGAGTAAAGCCTGAACAAATAAAATATGTATTTGGGGCCCTTGGAGAGCCTGTTTTTACAATGCTGAAAGCAATTAGGAGCCAAGTCAGCTGGGAGAAAGAACTTGTACAAATACATGAATGATAATTGAGAATCATTTAAGAATATTTTACTAGAGGCCCAAACATCTACAGGCAAGAAAGGCTCTGATGGTTTTAAAACACTGGCTTAGAAGGAAGGTTTTACTGTAATACTTTAATGCCAAAACTGAAAAAACAAGGAATGGTGTAACAGCACCTGTAATGCCAGTGTGACAGAGATATAGCTGTTAGAATGTGTGTTCTCTGGATACAGCAAACATGTGCAGGTTAGGGGAACAAAGCTAACTGATGACAATCCTAATGTATTCTCCTTCATTTTAACAGATAAGGATAAAAATGAATTTTAATGTCTGGACTATCAAAGAAATGTTCAGTACTCCCATAGCCACAAGGTAAGTGGTTTTGGTTTTGTTGTTATGTTTATAAATGTTCAAGTAATCAGGATAGTCTACTGGCAGTATTTAGCTAATGTACTGAGTAGCTGCTCCCATTAATTTGCAGTAAAAGTAATTTAAACTGCGGTTTGCAGAACTAAGTCAAATACATTGGAAACATTGTCTGCTGACTTCTTAATGTTCCTGATGTGTTTATTCCAGAGGGCATTAGCAGGTCTCCAGTTAAGGAGTTGATATGACTGCTGTCTAGTATGATGCATCTGTATAACTTACATTTCAGCTACTGAATTTGAGGGTATATGAAAAGCAAAGTCTAAAATAGCTGTGCATACAGTAGCACTGATCTGATACTGTGTTTTAATTTTACTTGAGAAAAGATTAAAACACATCCTATGTTTTACTGCCAAATAAAATTATTAGAGGCTTTGTGTGTGTGTGTATGTTATCTGTGATTTCCTCTCTATTATTTACACTATGGAGCCTCTTAAATACAAAGGCCCCTGTAATTAATGAAGACTAAGAAAAAGCCTATGTATAAAGGACATGAAACCTACTGCACATCACTAAGATTAATGTCACAGCACTAAAATACCCTTGGAATTTCTAAAATGTATAACTGACAATTTTAACACAAAAAGTGTTACATCCAACACAGATTTGACAGATGAAGAGGAATTGATCATAGAACTGATGATGGGTGATCACTCGTTGCTGAGTATGATCATCTTCCATGGGAATTATGGACCCTCAGGTGGCTGATAAGGTCGATCCTTGAACTAAGAATGTTAAATTGCAGTTAATTGACCAGTTGAGTAGTCTATGGAATTTCCATCGACTACTTGACTAGTCGATAGGCACTTCTGCATTCCTCTTTTGAAATGTACAAGAGTCCCTACTGGGGCTCTTGTATACATTTCAAAGGAGGAATGCAAAACTCCGCAGCCAGCCAGGGTCAGCGAGAAGTCCCACTGACTCCAGGCTCCGTGCAGGTGCCTGCTTTGAAATGTACAAGAGTCCCTACTGGGGCTCTTGTATACATTTCAAAGGAGGAATGCAAAACTCCGCAGCCAGCCAGGGTCAGCGAGAAGTCCCACTGACTCCAGGCTCCGTGCAGGTGCCTGCTTTGAAATGTACAAGAGTCCCTCACTGGCCCTGCTCCATGCTGCGTTGCCACTTTGAAATGTACAAGAGTCCCTGCTGGAGACTCTTATACATTTCAAAGCTGGCACCTGTGTGCAACCCGTGTGGGCTCTTGTGCATTACAAAGCCATGGAGCCCGGGGTCAGCTGGGGAGTCAGCTGACCTTGGGTTCTGGAGAAATGTTGCGCGGAACCCGAGACCCTAGACTCCACAGCGCTGCCCCTTTGAAACACCGAGGCAGCGTTTCAAAGGGGCTGCACTGCACTGCTGAGCCATGGATCAGCTGTTCAGCGGCTGCCCCTTTGAAACATTGCCTTGGGGTTTCAAAGCAGCAGCACCACCACAGAGCTGATCCCCAGCTAGGCTGTGTGGTGCTGCGACTTTGAAGTACCCTTTTCTCCCCCACTTTGCTGCCTCTATCTTATAGAGGCAGCAAGGGAGGGGGGGAATCGACTAGTCGACAGACTTATCTGATAAGCAAATGCTTATCAGATAGTTGACTAGTCCTTAATATCCTTACCTTGAACCACAAGTTCTATTACAGTGAGGATGGATGTTTCCAGGTACAGCAGGAGGCTGTTGGCCATGACTAGAAACCAGTCTTCCTTTCCTCCTGTGCCTCTTCTCCACCTCAGCAAGTTCAAAATGCAGGGAGCTGTCACTTAGGACTGGTCTCCATTTTGAGCAATCCTGGGCGAGTGTCTTCCAAGTTTCAGCGTCAACATTGCACTTCTTTAAGTTATCCTTTAGCAAGTCCTTAGAACCCTTCTGTTGTCCTTGCACATTATGGTATCCTTCTTTCAGCTGAGAAAACGGGAGCTGTTTTGGGAGGCAATGGTCTGGCATCCGAACAACATGACCAGTCCAGAGAAGTTGCTGATGGATGATTATTGTCTCAGTACTGGTGCTCTTTGCCTCTTCCAGAACACTCATGCTAGTGTGCCTATCTTTCCATTTGATTTTCAAGATCTTGCAGATGCAGCTTTGGTGATGCCTCTCAAGGACTTTCAAGTGATGTCTGTAGGTTCTTTTTTGAGTGGTCCCAGTAGGTGCTCCACTTTAGGTGTTGGGCCCCATCCCAGCGCCGCAGTCCAGAGATTTTGAACAGCCGGAGTCAGCTGGATCGCCCATGTGCATTGCGAACTTGCCACATTCGCACCTTTTGTCTTGTGTGCAATCCAGCTCCCGCCAATTCCTCTTCAACCGCCTCGGATCGCAGACGGAGCTTCCCTCATCTCTGCTTCTCGCTTCCTCAGAAAACTAAAATAGTTGTTAGATAATGTTAGGATTGTTGTTCTGTTTAGTTAGTAGTGGTAGTCATAGTCTACTTCTAGTTTAAAAAAAATTTATTCGTTATATATTATTCGTAGTTATCATTAAACAGTTTTAAAAAAAATAGAGAGAAGACAAGAGAAAAGAATGCCGGGGTCACCCGGATTAAAAAAATGCAATCTCTGTTGAGACGCAATGCTGGCCTCAGATGGGCATTCATCTTGTATCAGGTGCCTGGGTAGAGCCATGTCCCTCAAAAGTGCACTCATTGCACTAAACTTACAGCCAGAGCACGGCGCGATAGGGAGATGCGCCTGCATATGCTTTTGTTTGACAAGGCGCTTCAACCTGAAGAGGCAGTGTCTCCCTTGCCACCTCCTCAGAAGTGGAGGGCGTCCTCCCCTGGGGCAGCCCCCATGTGGAAGAAAACAGTGTCTCTGTCACATTCACTGCCACCGACCCCAAGTAGCAAGATAAGCTCAGGAGCCAAACCTGGTACCTCCAGCTCCCGTTCAGGAGCATTTTCTAAACAGAAAAAGATGGTGGACGTGGAACCACTGGCACTGGGCACTATATCGGCGTCAAGCATGATGGCACCAGAGACTGCAGTATCTCCGTGCAAGCTGCCGGCTCTGAGATCGGCTGCACCAGCAACCTTGGCACCAAAGCCTCACACAGTACTGAGACCTTCCGATCCAGCAGCCCTGGCACTGATGCTGTCTGCACCGACACCCCCGGCACCTAAGCTGTCTGCAAACACCAGCACTGCAAACACCAGCACTGGAGCCGAATTAGTTGGTGCTGCAGCCTGACCCAGCACCTACAATTGTACATAGGAAGGCTTCGGCCAAATTGAACAAACCCAGAAGCTTTACCTTGATGTCACCTTCTCCAACATTTTCCCTGGCACCGTCACCCTCCCCTCCAGCACCAAGGTCACCAGAGCCGCAGCGCTACTATATGCACCGCAAGCGGTATGGACAGAGTGAGCGAGGCAGGTCACCATATAGATCAGCACCATACACGGAGTACTGCCATCACTCTAGTCAAGTATCGGTGTCTCCTTCCCATTCTTCAAGGAGTTCACGGTACTATTCTCAGTCACCGGAATATGACAGACATTATAGTTGCTCCTACAAGCACTCTCCACCACATCGATATTATTAGTATCACAGGGACCATATGGCTCACTATCGCCATTCTAGGAGAGCCTCTCCCTGTTATTGCAGAGCATCCAGTCAGGCTTCAGTCCCATGTTCTGACAGAGATGAGCAGATAGCCTCCCTACCGACATCAAATTCTCCTCCTCAGCCACAACAACAATCAGAGCCTGAAGAAGGTCAGTTGTCAGATGTGGAGGAGCAACATCCTGACCAGTCACTAGAGGACAGATCATCTTCCTCACCTGATGAAGCTGTCATACCAGGGGATATTTCTGCACCGGATGACATCAAACAGTTTCAGGACCTCTTCAAGAGGGTGGCTTTAACACAGGAGGTCCAGTTGGTAGAAGTTCAGGAAAAGAGGAACCGTTTCCTGAAAAATCTCCAGCGCACACAGAAAGCCAGAGTGGCTCTTCCAATTGATGAGGCTATCATGGAAGCAGCAGAAGATCTGGCAAATGCCAACATCTAAACCCCCAACAAACAAAAGGGTGGACAAAAAGTATTTTGTTCCATCAATGGGCTTGGACTTTCTCTTTAATGATTCTCAGACAAGTCACTGGTGGTAGACGCGATATATCATAGAGCAAAGTCACCCCCTCCCCAGTACAGAGCGACTGCTTTGGACAAGGACAATAAGAGGCTTGACCTCTTTGGAAGGAAGGCCTATTCTTCAGCAACTCTGTTATTGAGAATTGCAAATTGTGCGGCGTTGTTATCAAACCATCATTTCGACAACTATTCGAAATTAACCTCATTGATGGACCACCTTCTGGACACAAAGAAACTGATACTGAAGGCAATAGTCTAAAAGGGCTATGCGTCAGCTTGAACAGGGCTCCAGATGTGGCAGACACGTCTGCTCAAGCGGTAGCCACTGCCATAGCTATGAGGAGATCCTCATGGTTATATTCCACAGAAGTCCCCAAGGAATTACACACCAAAGTGGAGGACCTCTCGTTTGACAAAATCAAGGGCTACGTCTACACTGCAGGCTTTTTGCGCAAGAACAGCTGTTCCTGCGCAAAAACTTGCAGAGCATCTACACTGCACGCGCATTCTTGTTCAAGTAAATTTACAGTAAAGCGTTGGAAAACAGGGTTTCTTGTGCAAGAGTTTTTCCTCTCCCCACAAGGAATAATCCCTCTTGTGCAAGAGCTCTTCCACAAGAAGGCAGTGTAGACAAGCAACAGGGGTTTCTTGCGCAAGAAAGCCCTTTGGCTAAAATGGCTAGCAGAGCTTTCTTGCACAAGAGAGCGTCCACACTGCCATGGATGCTCTTGCGCAAAATCACATCTCTTCCACAAAAGCATATGGCAGCGAGAATGCACTCTTGTGGAAGACCTTTTGCACAAGAACTCTTGCACAAAACAGTTCTTGTGCAAGAAGCCTGCAGTGTAGATGTAGCCAAGCTGTTTGCTG